GAAAGAAAAGCCAGGAGCGGAGTACATCATTTGGATCTGAGGTCCCTGTGCTAAGAATCTCCTAGATCCAGGAGACACAGAGGGAGAGATGGAACACCGGACTTCTCAGATGTAACACAGAAATGGTGGTAGAGATACAGCAGCAACAGAACCAGGAGTCTGTCGCAAGACAGCACAGTGATCCATGGAGTAAGGCAGTTAGGGTGGGTATGCTAACGTAGAGAGCTGAGTGTCTCCAGGCAGGAGGCCTCCTGGTAGAGCGGGGTACCCCCAAGCACTTATTGGCATAGCTCAAGAGCTTTGGGACACTTTCCTGAGCAGAGTAGAGCAGAGCAGAGGCCAGCCCAAGGGACCCAGTGGCCAGTGACCAGAGAGAGACCCGTTGTGATATGGCTGTGAATAGACTGTCCTGATGGAGGAACTATATAATCTGAGTCATTCCTGAACCTGAATTGTAACCTCAGCTCTGGTAGCGTAGTGGTTATGAATCGGGCTGCGAACCGCAAGGTCAGCAGTTCAAAACTACCAGCTGTTCTGCGGGAGAAAGATGAGGCTTTCTGCTCCCGTAAAGATGTGCAGCTTCGGAAACCCTATACTATGAGTCGGAACTCACTCCATGGCACATAACCACCACCACCACCACTTCCCTAATAAATTCTGCAATCATGGGTATTGTCTCTGACTTCTGTGTGGCCATTGCACTGAATTACTGAACTCAGCAGAGAAGCAGAGTACCGTGAAGGAATGGCTGGTGTCAGAATTGGCAAAATGTTTGGAAACAGGAGCTATGTCTGAGCTCTGCTTCAGAGTGATCAGCATTAGGCTGTTGATCTTGATTTTCCGTCCCTCTTGTGATGTCAGAGGAACCGTAGAAGTGTTGTAGGTAAAAAGTACTGGACTGCTAATCACAAGGCCAGCAGTTCAAATCTACCAGCCATTCCCTGGGAGAAAGATGAGCCTTTCTGCTCCTGTAGAGATTTATGACTATACAATATACAACAAGAGGGAGGTTAGCAGAGGAGGTAGCGGGAGATGCAGGGAAGAATAATCGCTGAAGTGAATAGAGGTAAATACTGTTAACTGTTGGTACATGGCGGGGATTACAACGATTGTAATGAAGCAAAGTATAGGATTTGTTGAATGTAAAACTGATGATCTGATCTGTAAACCTTCACTTGATCTACAACAGAAAAAAAAAAAAAAGAAGTTTTACGCCCCCTGAACTGCCCCCCCCCCCCCCCCCCCCCCCCCAGGTCACTCAGGAGAAGGATGAGACTGTCTTTCCCTATAATGACTTACAGGGAACTCCGCAGAGCAGCTCTACTGCGTCCTAGAGCATCTATGATTCAGAATGGACTTGATGTCACTGGGCTTTCAGTTTTGTGAAGTTAGAGGGGGTCAGACACCCCCATCATGTGCCCGTTTTATATCGCTCCTTTCCTCTCTGAGCTGAACAGGTCCCTTTCAACCAGAGCCCTTAGCTAGGCTTTCTCAGGCTCCCAGCTTCCGTTCCCACTACTGCCTGGCACATCTACCATCCCTTTCTGTTGCTTTCTGGATTTTTGGCCCATACAGCCAACACTTCCTTCCTCTCCACTCTCTTCAGTCATTTGTACTCCTGGTGTGGCAGTGTGGATCAGTACTGGACTGCAAACTAGATAGGCAGTTCAAACCCACCAGTTGCTCCTTGGAAACCCTATACAGGGTCACTATGAGTCTGAACCGATTTAGCAACAACCAATCTTCATTCATTCAGCATTTATTTGGCACCTATCACTGCCAGGCACAAGGATCCCTGCTGGTGCTGTAGAATATGCACTGCTAACCACAAGGTTGTTGGATCAAACCCACCAAAAGTTTTGCAGGAGTAAGATGAGGCTTTCTTTAAGATTTAGAGTCATGCATGGAGAGAGAGAGCAGCTGAGGGCTCCAGACTCAGGGAAAGACAAAGGCTGTGTGCTGGTGGCCAGGAGGCAGGCTTGCAGAATGTGCCCTTTGGTTGTTTAAATGATTACATATTCATGAGTGTTTCTGTGTATATCCAAAAAAACATAACAAAACAAACCCAGAGGGAATAGAAGAAAATACTGTTGAATGATGATGCTCAGAGGGGATTGTAATCATTGTAATGAAACGAAATACTGTGGAATGAATGTAAAACAGATGTTCTCCCCATGTAAAGTATCACTCAAGTCACAATAAAAAACTTTAAAAGAAAAAAGATTTACAATCTTGGAAAACCTACATAGGGTCACTATGAGTCGGAATCAACTCGATGACAGTGGGGTGGGGTGGGTGTGGGTTGCCAGCCACAGTGTGGTTACATCAGGGTAGAGAGATGTCTCTTCAGGAGTTCTCACTTAAGTGGTGGAGATGCATCCCTAACTGGAGTCCCGGTGACATGTATCCTGTGTAACATGTGACAGCAACATGCTATGTGCACACAGGCATCATGACAGTGCTGGGGACATGTGTCATGTGCATACAGGTGTCCTGGTGTGGCTCTGTGGGTTAATGCATTGGACTGCAAAGTCGGTTTGAACTGCAAGGTCGGCGCTTCAAGCTCACCAGTGGCTCCTCGGAAACCCTATATAGGGTCTCTGTGGGTGGGCACCAACTCAACGGTGCTTAACAAACAACAACAGAGTAGATGACATGTGTTATTTGCATACAGACAGCCAGGTGACACACAAGTATGATAGTGCCGGGTGGCCTATGTTATGTGAACAAAGAGATCACAACAGTGCTAGAGGTCAGGAGCCCCAAATCAGAGTATCAGATCTGAGTGGAGTCCCTGAACAGAGCAAACAAATGGTTAACCTATATGACTACTGTCCAAAAAGTTGACGGTTTGAATCCACCCAAAAGTATCTCAGAAGAAAGATCTGGTGATCTCCTTCGAGAAATCAGTTCTACGCTGACACGCTGGGATCTCCTTGAGTCAGAATTGACTTGACAAGTGGAGGGGCTAAGGAAGCTTTCCCTCAGAGACGTGGTATTCTCCATAAGCTTCTAGTTTTTGTCTTCGCCGCTCCTTAGAAGCACCTGGTATGGGTATTTTTCCAACCACCTGAAGACGCAGCCAGGTCAGAGAGGCCCAGGGGCACATTACCAGGAATCCTCAGGAGCTGTGTCCACCACAGAGATGCCTGGGCTGCTGCGAGGCTGGCTGCACAAGAATGATCTACAGATTCTGGAGAAACTCTGATTTCTGGACTCTACAGCCAAAGAGTCTAATTCAGTGTGTCCCAGGATGGGCTTGGGAATCTGGACTGTAAAAATGTCACCTGGTGATGCTGTAAAAAATGCTGCCATGTCTGGGAACCACCACCCACTGTGTCTCTCTTCTTCCAGGAGACCAAACCACCACTGGAGGGAGCACTGGTTCCCAGGTGGGGGGAGCACTGTCTTCTAACGAGGGCATCACCTCTCGGGTGGGAGCATTACCTACCAGGTCAGAACATCACCTCCTAGGACCTAAGTGGGAGCATCACCTCCTAGGTTGGGGAGTACAGTCTCCCTGATTTCTGGACTGTACGTTTTGGGTGGGAGCATTGCCTCCAGGTAGGAGCATCACCTCCTAGGTAGGGGGAGTACTCCCTCTGAGTGGGAGTAGTTACCCCCTCTCCCACTGGAATGGTAGGCCAGGAAGTCAGTGGACATGAGGAGGGTGGGATGGAGGAGGGAAGCCAGGCTGGGTGGGTGGCCTTGGGGTGTGTGGGTGACTCAGCCCCACGCCAGCCCGCCAGCCTGCTGGTTTCAGGTGGTGGCCTCACTTCCATCACCATGACAACTCCTCCCTAGAACGGAACGCAGGGAGGCCCGTCCTACGGGTTTGTTTGTGTTCAAAGCCGCTGAAGGAGAGAGCCCTAGCCTGAGGGGAGGGGAGGGGCAGAGGCAGGCAGAGAGTGAAGCCCCGGAGGATGGGCGGCTGCGGAAACCAGCAGTGGGTGGAGGGGACCGGCTGGAGGGAACTGGTAGGTGAAAAAAGGGGAGGAACAGACGGCAGGTGGAAGGAGCAGGTGGGGAGGGACAGGGTGGATAAAGAAGTGGCAGGGAGAACAGGTGTGGGGGATGACAGTGGCGTTCAAGGACGCCATGACAGGGCTGGATGATAAGGGGGAGGTGGGGGGAGTAGAAGGCCAGCAAGTTAGAGTGGAAGGGAATGAATGGAGGGACTTGACCATGGATGGCAGCCAGGTGGGACAGCCACTCGATTCAGCAGAAGGGAACCCAGTTGTGTCAGGGGTAGTTGGCGTAGTTTCCCCCTGCTTGGAGAACGTTCCAAACCACATGAAGTGTGTTCTGAGGTTGGAGTTGGGGAGTGGGGTCTTGGATGGTCTCCCCAGAGTGAGCAGCATAAATAGAATGTTAATAGTGCCCATAAAGTTCAAGAACTCTTGGTCATGAACTTCCCACAAGCAATGGCAGCTTCGCCCATGGCCCATCAGGCTTGTGGACAGTGGGAGGGGTATGCATGAAAGGCCAAGAAGGGTGGGAAGAGGGGGCTCACCTGCAAGGGCCTTGATACGAGACCTCTCGAAAAGGCGGGCAGAGCTGGTGTCATTGTCCCAGTCGGAGTCAGGCAGGTCCCAGCGGTTGTTGATGTCGCTGTACTGGCCCTGAATCTCCAAGCTGTCAAAGTCTGTGGGTGACAGGGTGCTGCTCATGGTGATGGCCGCCTGTTCCTGTAAAGGGGAAGGTGGCTGGTGAGGGCCATCTCGGCCCATCCGAACCCTCCACTTACCAGGCTATCTCCCGCCAGTCTCTGCTAGCCTTCTGGCCAAAGGGTGTAGCTGGGTTTTGTGTTGATGGCCGCCAGCCTCTTGGCAGAGGGGGGAAGTTACCAAGGAGGAGCAGAGGGACAGGAATATAGCAGATACACACACAGGGACAGGAAGGGCTCCAGGAGGCCAGGGCTGACAGTGACTCTGGCATGGTCCAGGGCACCTTAGATACGAGAAATCTCTCCATCCTTAGACTGTTCATGAGCACGCAAGATGCCGCCTATGACTATCGGCGACTTGAGACGAAAAGATCCAACTCCAACTCCCCCAGACACCAAGAAGACGGGACGCACTATTAGGCAAGTATCAACATGTGCCCAGGAGTTTGAAAGAGGACATGGTATGCTTCTCTCTCCAAGGCTTCCTTGTTTGCTACATGGAATGAAAAGCCAAACCAAACATATTACTGTGGATGACAACTCATGGCATTATTGAGTAGAACTGCTCCAACTCCTGATTCGGTGCTGTGGGATAAGCACTGGGCTATTAACCACAAAAGGAGCTCTGGTAGCGTAGTGGTTACGAATCAGGCTGTGAACCGCAAAGTCAGCAGTTCGAAACTACCAGCTGTTCCGTGAGAGAAAGATGAGGCTTTCTGCTCCCGTAAAGATTTACAACCTCGGAAACTCTGTACAGGGTCGCTATGAGTCGGAACCGACTCCATGGCACATAACAACAACATTAACCACAAGGCCGGTGGTTCAAACCCACTAACTGCCCCTCAGAAACACTATACAGTGTCATTGTGAGCCAGAACCAACTTGATAGCACTGAACAACAACAACAACAACAACATAATCCTTACAGAAGCAGATCGCTAGACCTTTCTTCTGCAGCACTGCTGGGTAAGTTTGAACCGCCAACCTTTAGGTAGATGTACTTGTTGTCAAGTGTCGTTGAGTTGGTTCCAATTCATAGGACTCTGTATAGAGTTTCTCAGGAATGGCTGGTGGGTTTGAAACGCTGACCTTGGGGTTAGCAATCCACTGCTTATCCTCCAGAACTACACCAAGTGCAAACTGTGCCACCTAGGGAACTTACTACAGGGAAATAAAATTTGTTGCTGTAGAGTCAATTCCAATTCATAGCAACTCTAAAGGACAGAGGAGAACTGCCTCACAGGGTTCCCAAGGTTGTAAATTGTTATGGAAGCAGACTGCCACCTCATTTTCCTACGATCAGCTGATAGGCTCAAACCACCGACATTTTGGTTAGTAGCTGAGCACTTAATCATTGTGCCACCAGGACTCCTCGATACAGGGAAAACTGCTGGATAATTGTTAATTACGTCACCTGTCTGTCAGTCAGTGTTATCCAGTGTGGTGGCTTACATGTTGCTACAATGCTGAAAGTTATGCTGAAAGTTATGCTAATGATATTCCGCATATAAGCAGGGTCACCCACAGTGGGCAAGTTTCAGTAGAGCTTCCAGATCAAGCAAGACACACTAGCAAGGAAAACTTAGCAATCTACTCCCCAAAATTAGTGATCAAAACCCTATGGATCACAACAGAATATTGCCAGATAAAGAGTGCTGGAAGAGTGAAAGAGACTTCCTGCAGAGCCTCTGAATTATACAGGACCATAGTTGAAATCCTGAACCCCATCCAGAATCTTCTGAGGTGGAAAATTTCCACTTGAAAGGACAAGCAGAACCAGCCTGGAGAGGCTAGAAGTATCTTTCAAGAAGATACTTCTTGAAAGAAAGACCCGCAGGAAAAATCAAAAACAATAAGGGCAGTCTGACTAACTACTACAAGAACAAGTAAGCTGTTCGCCCAGGAGCCATCAAGGCAAGTGGTCAGGTCCCCTCAGAGCAAACCCCCTTCTAAGACTATGACTCAAGGGGAATACACGAGCAGGCATGTGGTCTGGCTGGTGACCACACTGGCAACCGATAAGGGGAAGTGGGGTAAAAACAGCAATGAAGTTGTGAGCTAAGTCTGACCATATTCAATAGACTCCTGTGAACCTGGCTGGAGACCTGGTTGGCCAGCAGTTACAGCAAGACCAGGGGACTCCTGGGTCCAGCGACAGTGACATGGCCACAGAGGTCTAGAGCGGAGAGTGAAGCGTCCAGCTGATATAAAGTGAGGGGAGATGCACAAGAACACCCATACTTGCAGATAGTGCCCACTTGATTTGGCTTCAATGGCTTGATGATCAGAACTCGACTAGAAGAAGAAGAGGAAAAAAAGAGTAATCCACAACTTTGTGAACTTGACCTATACTTATGGATGTAGTAGCTCAAAAGAGGGAACAAATCTTTACAGCGAAGATCATTCCCACCCCCTTGGTACACAGGGTTGACAGGGATGGGCAACTTATACATTGGCTACCCAAAATGAAGGAGTTACAAAGGCAAGAAGTGACTGGCTTACAAGCTTTCAAGAGGGAGCCTAGTTTCAGAGGGTGGGGGAAGGTAGAATCTCCACTGAGTGGTTTCCAATCTGTTGGGACAGGGTTGATGAAAGGAGATGGGGATAAGACTCTTGTGGTACAACAGTGAATAATTGCTATCAGGACTGACTGTGAAGGTTGGAAATGTAAAGGTAGATGGTTTGTAACAAACAGAAGGGAGTGGTTGATTTTGCAGTCTAGGAGTGGAGGTCCCTGGGACCATCAAGTGGGAAGAGAGAAGTGCAGGACCCTACCCAGAGGAGCAGTGACGCCAGAGATGGAGGCAAAGATGATGATGTGGAGAGGTGGAGCAGCTGGGGACTCTGGACACTCAGGGATGGAGAGTGTGCTGATGGGGGGTGGGGGGGGGCAGCCCCTTTGGGGTTGTTTGATGATGCATGGAAGGGATTGCAATCATTGCAATGAAATGAAATACAATAGGATGAATGTAAAGCTGGTGTTCTCCCTTGTAACCATGTAAACTCACATAATTCACAATAAAAACTTAAAAACAAAATAAATAAATGAGACTGATTAAATAAAAAAGTGCTGGAAGACTGGGATCTTTAAAGCTGGTGAGTGGCCACCTAAGGGGTAAATATTAGTTTACCCCCATCCAGAGCAGAGTGAAGAAAATCACAGGCTACGGAAAACAATTAGTCCAAAGGACTGAGAGACCACGTGAACCCCAGTCTCCTTGATCCTGGCACCAGAAGACCCAGATGGTGCCCAGCAGCCACTGCTGATTGCTCTGAAAGGGATCACAATAGGAGGGCCTGCATACAGTGGGAGAAAGATATGGAACAAAACTCAAAATCATAAAAAAGTCCAAGCTTACTGGTCAGATAGACTAGTGGAGCCCCTGAGATTGTGGTCCTTACACACCCTTCAGGCCCGGAACTGACCTTACCTCCAGCTCAGTTTTCAAACACACAATAGACAGGCCCATAAGTCAACAGTAACACTCGGGAGGTACGCACTCATTAGCATAATTAACCATACATGATCAAAAGGGCAGCGTTTGCCTCAGGAGAAAGATCAAAAGGCAGGAAGGGATAGGAAAGAAGGACAAAAGGGAAGTGTAAACACTGGGAGGAAGTGAGACCAATACTGTTACACTGTGGGAACTGCAATCCATGTCACCAAGAAAAATGTGTAAGAATTGTTGAATGGAAAACCAATTTGCGCTGTAAACTTGCTCCTGAACCACAATAAAGAATAAAAAAATAAAAGCGTGCTGGGAGATGAGCCCCCTCAGTTAGAAGGCACTTAGCAATGGACTTAAACATGCGATGACCATGAAAATGGTGCAGGATCGGCTAGTGAGTGTGCTTTATTATTCAAGGAGTCACCGTAAGTGGGGACGGTAACCATGTCAGCTGTGATATGTGTCCCCGGCATTTACAGCATCACCTCATCACGACCCCTGATGAAGCCTGCCCTATTATATTGTTCCTTTTTGATTGAAGAGGAAGCTGTACCTCAGAGAGATAAGTGACTAGCCCAAGGTCACACAGATAGAAGGTTCAGCTCTGGGTTCAAAGCCAGAGTCTTTCTAGCTCTAAGGCATAAATTCTTAATCTCAGCTGGCCTCCAGCCTCAGGGATAGAGATCTTTTACCTGGTGTGGCGCTGTGGGTTAATGCGCCAGATTGCAAAGCCATTTGAACTGCAATGTCGGTGGTTCAAACTCACCAGCTGCTCCTTGGAAACCCTATACAGGGTCACTATGGGTCGGAACCGACTCGATAGCACTTAACAACAACAACTCCCAGTAGTCCTGATGTGGCACTGTAGGATAAGCACTGGACTGCTAGCTGCAAGGTCGACAGTTCAAACCCACCAGTTCCTCCTCGAAAACCCTATACAGGGTCCCTGTGAGTCGGAACTGACTGGACAGTACTTAACAACAACTAATTCCCAGGATCCCTAAGGGTTCATAGAAGTCAGGGCCAGCTCCTAAGAGATCAGCCACAGAGGCTCCCTGCCAGGTCAGGGAAATTAGGACCATGTACGTTTCCAGCTCGCCAGTTCCAATCGACGCCTCTGTTACGCAAACTAACAGTGTCCTCAAAACTAACAAAATGAGCTTCAACTAGCTGTTAGGGACTAAAAAAAAATTCTCTACTGTCCAAAGGTCTCATGCAATTTAGCTTTCAGTAGTCAGCCACCAGAATGGAGGGGGCTGGGTCTGTAAGGTTATCAAAAAACCCCAACTCTGTTTTCTTATTTTCATAGGAGCTCTCAAATACAAGGGTATTTAAATTCTTAGCAGTACTTCCTGGGGCCAGGACTAGGATCTTGGCAGTCTCTGGTTCTAGAATGAAAGAGGCAGGGTGGGTGACTCATGTGGTTTGGGGAAGGAAGGAGTTATGGGTGGGGAGGTGTGGGGAGGTGTAGGTAGGGAGGGAAAGCGGGAGGTGTGCTCCTATGGGTAAAACTCAGCTTCTGTTATTAACTGGTCCCATGAAGCTAAACCTGACCTACATGAAGGACAGGGCTGTCTCACCCTCCTCTTTCTCCCCAAGAGAAAACACACACACACACAGAGTGCCCTGGGAGTAGAATTAACCCAGGAGTACAAAGAAGCAAAAGTTTAAGGTATGAAGTTCCTAGATTTGGGCTTCTCATCCCACACAGTGGTGATGCAGGAAAGTCCTGGAGAACTGCTTCGAAACCAGATTACAGCCAAGAAAACCCCAGGGAGCAGTTCTGCTATGTTACATATAGGGTCACTGTAAATTGGAATCAACTCCCTGGTTGTGGGCTTGGCTAGGTTAGTAAGAGTAATTGTGGTTAAGTGCCGTGAATCAGTTCCAATTCATAGCAACCCTGCATAGGGTTTTCCAAGGAGTATCTGATGGGTTTGAACTGCCACCCTTGTGGTTCACAGAGCCATA